ACAACGAATTATCTTGATCATCGTTATCCTATACTATTTCATGAGGATCTGTTGGGACTTCTATTATTTGGGAAACAAAAATACTATACCGTACGTGCCTAAAGTATGGAATAAATACAATAAAAACAAATTTTTTTTGGGAAAAATCCTCGAACAGGTCGATTTTTAATTTAAAAAATACATATTTTAGCATAAAAGGCCTATTTTTTTTCTTGATTCTGAAAGATCGTTTCATTGTCGATCCGACAGTATTAAAATGTTGCCATCTTACATAGGAAAGTATTCGAGTAAATGACGATTGAATGTTAGAAAACCCAAATCAATTAAAATAAAGCAAAAACGTTATCAAATTTAGCTTTTCGAAATGTCAGAAGTTTTTATGGATCACGAAGGTGTAAATCTTTACAGTGTGTGTCACTGTCATACCGACTTTCTAAGTATTGTATAATATAAAAATTATTGTTGAATTTAAAGTAATATGGCACATTTAACTGTCACACAAAGAGTTTAAATTTTAATTCTTATCGGATGCCGGGATAAGACTAGAGCGCTGCAGGAAGTTTGCGATTTATTTAATGAAAAACATCCAGATCGCCGTATCAGCCAATCAACAGTCAGTAAGATAGAATCTAAATTTAGAGAAACTGGCAATGTTGTAGATATTCCAAAACCTGGACGTCCAAGCGTTAGTGAAGATCACAAACAGAACATTTTGATAAGTATGGTAGATAATCCTCATAATACTTCACGATTGGTTGCATTAAACAATGAAATTAGTCAGACCACAGTGCTACGTATCCTGAGGCAGGAAAAATATCATCCCTACAAAATTCAACTTGTGCAGGAACTCAATGAAGACGATCCCGACCGCCGCTTACACTTTTGTGAAATTATGATGGATTTATGTCAAGTAAATAGAGATTTACACCGGCAAATACTTTTTTCAGACGAGGCCACGTTTTGTCTCAATGGTACAGTGAACCGTCAAACTTGCAGGTATTGGAGTCGGGAAAATCCTCATTGGATGGCAGAGACACATACCCAACACCCACAGAAATTAAATGTGTGGGCTGGAATAGTTGACAACAGAATAGTAGGGCCTTTCTTCTTTGAAGGAACCCTTACAGGAGAAAGATATTTAGAGTTTTTACAAAATGACCTTGTTCCAGCGCTTGCAGTAATTTTTCCTAACGATAATGACCCTGATATTCCTGATGACACCATATGGTTTCAGCAAGACGGTGCACCTCCGCACTATGCGCGCCCTGTTCGAGATTTTCTGGACAATTGTTTTCCTAGGAGGTGGATCGGCAGACGAGGACCGATAGAATGGCCCGCGAGATCCCCAGATCTTACACCCCTGGACTATTTCTTATGGGGCTACTTAAAGTCCAAAGTGTACGTTAATAGACCACATAATTTAGAAGAACTCCAAAATTGTATTATAGATGAAATACACAGAGTTACCCCAGAAATAATTCATAATGTGCAAGAAGAATTTCTACACAGACTTGCGTATTGTCAAGAAGTCGGTGGGTGGCAATTCGAACACTTAATTTAGGTAGAAAACTTAATGAATTGTATTTGCTTGACATAGGAATTGTTATTTTTTTAATGAATAAAATTTACGTTTTCTAACATTCAATCGTCATTTACTCTAAAACTTTCCTATGTAAGATGGCAACATTTTAATACTGTCGGATCGACAATGAAACGATCTTTCAGAATCAAGAAAAAGAATAGGGGGGTGCTATTTAAAAAAATGTCGATGACGTCGTTACTCGAAAACAAATGACGGTTGAAAATCGCCTTTTATGCCAAAATATGTATTTTTAAATTAAAAATCGACCTGTTCGAGGATTTTTCCCAAAAAAAATTTGTTTCGTTTTTACTGAATTTATTCCATACTTTAGGCGCGTACTGTATAGTAAAGTCAATCTTATTGCTTAACACCTTGGCAAGAATTTTCAGGCGTTTTATTAGAAACGCCCATGAGTCTGTTCCATTTTGATAGAACACCTTGTTATTTAATCGAATGAGAATTTGTTTAAGTATAATTACACGAGTGTTATAATTTATTAAACGTCAGAAAATTAAACTTCATTTATAACAAATCCAATTATTTCCTCGGCTACTTTTGGCCCGTAACTCGTATCATGGTTTGATCTACAATAATTATTCCAGTTTGCATGCTCTCTGGGGGCACCCAATTTAAAAATCGCCTCCATTAGAGTCATTAGATCGTTATTACTTTTTCTATACGATTGAATAGCATCAAAGCTCCACTCCGTGGTGGTTATTACGGCCACTGTAATTCGACTGCTCATAATACGCTGTTATTATATGATTTATTATCCTTTTAATCGAAATTGTGTACTTAAATGAGGGTATTAAGATTTATTGTGGATTTTAAGTTTTGATGGTAATTAATTACCCGATCACAGTTATTTTGTAATTTAGTAATATGTATCGGGCTTCAAAGCGAGAAAAACGAACACACCCTCGCCTCCAATCGTTTATTATACATTACATTATTTTATGTTGAAACTTTAATAACTTGCTTGAGATAAAAGGACTGGTTCTAGTTTATTTGCCAATTTTTGAGAAGTTTAGTTAATACTTATTAAATAGTACCAATTCCAATTACATTCTAAAATTTAAACACTTTTTAATACGAGGCACATCCACAAAGTAAGGGTACTGAGACTCTGATGCTCTGTGCTTTTGTCTTCGTCAAAGTTGACAAGACTGCGTCCAAGGCCAAGATGTTGCGAACAGAACACGTCAACTGAGAAGTGTTGTTGTAGTGGCGTGTTGAAATGAATGCCGCTATTCCGAATCCCGCCAGCTGCGAGCGCTTCGAACTGAAGAACAATTCCTTGACTGGCGACGAAACGTATTTGACCCACTATACCCCTGAGGCTAAAAGACAATCAGTGCAGTGGTGACATTCGTCTTCACAATCAGTGAAAAAATTCACGGTTTCGGGTTTGAACCGAAAACTCATGGTAACTCATTTTGGGATCGCAACCTTCTAATTTTCATGTTTTCTCTTCTCTGAAGGTGTTTATGGGTGGAAAACGGATTTCTACCGAGGATGAGGTCCACTTTGCTGTTAAACAATGAGAGAGGCGGCGGGAGATTTTTTAGAAAGCTCATCCCTCGGCTCACAGAGCATTGCAGTTGAAGGCGATACGTCGAAAAATAGTGTTTCATGTAGCTTTCTGAATATGTAAATTTTTCATAAATATACTGCTGTTTCGAGTTTTAAAAAATTGAGTAGGGGAGGGTGGTACACATTGAAACGGGGTACACAATGAAACATTGCAATTTTTCAATTTGAATTTGCCGCTACAACGCCACTAGCGCTGTCGCGGATGAGTCTTATGATGTTGCATCAGCCATCCGTTAGTTGCATTTGATATTCGTAAGAGTGCACATTTCATGACCAAATTTGTGATTTTTGTGTCTTAAAGTAAAAAAAGAAACCAATATAAAAAGGTATGTTATTTACAATTAAGCAGTTTTAGTATCCGTTTATATTTGTTATGAATAATTAGGGTATGCATTTCTTAACCTATAAAATATGTTGTCCAAAAATGTTCTTGTCTTAGATTTACATCCAATTAAAAAAAAAATGCGTAGTGGTACACATTGAAACATAGGGTGGTGGTACACAATGAAACATGTTTCATTGTGTACCACCTTGTGTCATTCTAGCCGTAGAATTTTTGGTTGTAGGTAACCATGGTAAGGAAGAAGAAAGAGCGAACAAGAGCTAAATTTACAGGCGATCAAATGACCGCAGCAGTCCAAGAGGTCAAAACAAATGGGACTTCCCTTCGCATTGCTGCAGATATGTTTGATGTAAATTTTGTCACATTAAGGCGTTATGTACTAAAGGAATGATATGACCCTAATACTAAAATGGAGCCGAATTATGCTGTTAGATTAATATTTAGCACCGAGCAGGAAAGACCTTTATCTGAATATATAAAGACTTGTAGCAAAATGGCATTTGGGTTAAATACTCAAAAAGTAAGAGAGCTGGCATATGAAATGGCGGTCAGAAACAATATTAATATGCCAGATACCTGGAGAAGGAATAAGTGTGCGAGTAAGGATTGGCTAAGAGCTTTTATTAAAAGAACTTGGTCCTTAAGTATTAGAAAGCCAGAAGCTTGCTCTTTATCCAGGTTTACTTCTTTTACAAAACCTAATGTCGAAAGGTTTTTCCTACAGCTTCAGAAAATATATGAGAAGTTGTTCAGGAAATTCAAATTTATAATTTGGACGAAACTACTACTACGACTGTACAGCGTCCACATAAAGTAGTTACACAAAAAGGGGTGAAGCAGTTGAACCAGTGCACAAGTGCCGAAAGAGGATTACTAGCCACTACTTGTGCTATAATTAGAGCAAACGGAACTTTTCTACCGCCGATAATTATTTTTCCCCGAAAGAAGTTTGTCCCTCATATGTTAAATGGCGCGCCCCCAGGCACATTAGGACTAGCAAATCCAAGTGGGTGGATGACAGCCGAACTGTTTGTTGAGGTGTTAGACCACTTTATTAAACATACTGGTGTGACAAAAGAAAGGCCATGCCTATTAATATATGATAACCACGAATCACATGTGTCCCTGGAGATAGCGGAAAAGGCAAAAAACAATGGAATCATTATCTTAACTCTCCCGCCACATACGAGTAACAAGTTGCAGCCTTTAGACAAAGCAGTATTTTACTCTTTTAAGAACTTTTACAATGATGCAATAGATTCGTGGCTCCTCACCCACCCCGCCGTACCCATGACGCTATATCAAATAGCTGAATGTGTTGGTATTGCCCACTCAAAATCAATGACGCCTGAAAATATATTAAACGGGTTCCGTTCGACGGGTATCTACCCATTCAATAAAAATATTTTTACGGATGCTGACTTTCTTGTATCATCTGTGACTGACAGACCTGAAGACCCTCAAAAAGAGAACCTCCAACAAGGAATGGTTGTATTCCAAGAAAATTTGAATGATGAACAAGATGCCGGCGGCAGCGGCAGCGGCAACGACACCGCCGTTGCTTCATGTAGCACAACCGATACTCAACAGTGTACAGATGATAAGGGAGACTCTACTTTGGAAATAGCGTCGACTACAAAAGATTCTTTTATTTCACCATTTGAGATACGGGGCTTCCCAAAGGCAGCTCCTCGGAAAAATTTAAATCGAACACGAAAATCGAAGAAAAGTGTCATTTTAACCAGCACACCAGAAATGAAAGAACTTTCGTACAAAACAGAAAAGAAGAAAACTCCTAAAACAGAAGCAGTTAAAAAAGTAAAACGAAATATAAGTGCAGACAAAAAAGATACAAAGAAAAAAAGCAAAACATGTGAAGAAGATTCAGAGACGGACACAGAAAGTGTAGATTTGCATTTCGCGGATTCTTCAGATGATGAATTAACCTTAGCTGAACTTGAGTATCATATGATGGAGGAAGAGAAGGATCAATCAGAATCTTTGGCAATTGATGAAACTACTGAAATTTTAAAAGATTCTTTTGTCTTGGTCAAATTTCAAAATAATGTTCACTATGTTGCTAAAATTTTGGAAGCTGTAAACTCTAACGAATTTAAAATTTCGTATTTGAGAAAAAGTGCAAAAGTTTCAAATTCATTCTATTTCCCGGATGTTCCGGACATTCATATGGCACTGAAATCAGATTTTGTAATCCTGTTGCCGAGTCCGATACAAACAAATAATAAAAGGCTTTCGCCATACTTTAAATTCGGAGTTGATTTTGGTAACATGATTGTACGCTAATTAAATTCTTTTGTTATTACTTTTTATTAAAAATAAATATTTTAGTTTTTTACTTTTTTACCGATAGGTATTTTTTGAAAAGAAAAAATGTTTTTGTTCCTTCTTTGAGTTGATTTAGTTTATTTTAGTTTTTTACCAACATTTTTTGAAAATAAAAAATGTTTTCGTTCTTTCACAACTGATTTTTTTTTAAATAATAAATATTTTTATACTTGTACCATTTTGTTTCATTGTGTACTACCCCATGTTTCAAACTGTACCACCAGTGGTACACATTGATACAAAAACGTCCATGTAGATTTTATTTTTTACCTAAACAGTATGGTTTTTTAAAAACTAACTACGGGGATTTATAGCTAAATATCCAATAACTATGCAATAAAAAAATTAGATTCTTTAAATAATAACACCGGAAGTTATACAAAATATTCGAAAAATCGTTTCATTGTGTACCACTCTCCCCTACTCTTACTTTGCGGATATGTCTCGTATTTTAAAAATGTGTTACTGGTATACGTTATTATTGTAATTGCGTTCATTAGTCTGGCATAAGTGTAGCAATGTTTGTATTTTGCAACATAATGAATGAATTTTATTCTAAAAAACTTTAAATTAGAACAANTACGTTTTCGATGGGCTACCCTGTATATAAACCAATGATGTATTTGGGACAGGGATGGGTATTTACGCGTCAACTCTGTTTGTCGACATTTACATGTAGACTTCGCGTAGACTATGTGGACTATGTGGACTAAGTAAACAACGTAGACAATGTAGAGAATGTTGAACAGCTGTTCTATTGAGTGGACGAAAAATCAATTCCAATTTTGACCAGCTACGATTAGAATTAGTAAAATTCCACAGAAAATATGCCGCAAAATGTTTGATATGTGAAAATACTCCAAGAAGACATAAAAAGGCCCTTAATGTTCTGGAGAATGGCAAACCTAGGGGAGGGTGGTATACAATGAAACATTGCAATTTGTCGATTTGAATTTGCCGCTACAACGCCACTAGCGCTGTCGCGGATGAGTCTTATGATGTTGCATCAGCCACCCGTTAGTTGCATTTGATATTCGTAAGAGTGCACATTTCATGACCAAATTTGTGTTTTTTGTGTCTTAAAGTAAAAAAAAGAAGCCAATATAAAAAGGTATGTTATTTACAATTAAGCAGTTTTAGTATCCGTTTATATTTGTTATGAATAATTAGGGTATGCATTTCTTAACCTATAAAATATTTTGTCCAAAAATGTTCTTGTCTTAGATTTACATCCAATTAAAAAAAAATGCGTAGTGGTACACATTGAAACATAGGGTGGTGGTACACAATGAAACATGTTTCATTGTGTACCACCTTGTGTCTTTCTGGCCGTAGAATTTTTGGTTGTAGGTAACCATGGTAAGGAAGAAGAAGGAGCGAACAAGAGCTAAATTTACAGGCGATCAAATGACCGCAGCAGTCCAAGAGGTCAAAACAAATGGGACTTCCCTTCGCATTGCTGCAGATATGTTTGATGTAAATTTTGTCACATTAAGGCGTTATGTACTAAAGGAACGAAATGACCCTAATACTAAAATGGAGCCGAATTATGCTGTTAGATTAATATTTAGCACCGAGCAGGAAAGATCTTTATCTGAATATATAAAGACCTGTAGCAAAATGGCATTTGGGTTAAATACTCAAAAAGTAAGAGAGCTGGCATATGAAATGGCGGTCAGAAACAATATTAATATGCCAGATACCTGGAGAAGGAATAAGTGTGCGAGTAAGGATTGGCTAAGAGCTTTTATTAAAAGAACTAGGTCCTTAAGTATTAGAAAGCCAGAAGCTTGCTCTTTATCCAGGCTTACTTCTTTTACAAAACCTAATGTCGAAAGGTTTTTCCTACAGCTTCAGAAAATATATGAAGATAACCCAGAAGTTGTTCAGGAAATTCAAATTTATAATTTGGACGAAACTGCTACTACGACTGTACAGCGTCCACATAAAGTAGTTACACAAAAAGGGGTGAAACAGTTGAACCAGTGCACAAGTGCCGAAAGAGGATTACTAGCCACTACTTGTGCTATAATTAGAGCAAACGGAACTTTTCTACCGCCGATAATTATTTTTCCCCGAAAGAAGTTTGTCCCTCATATGTTAAATGGCGCGCCCCCAGGCACATTAGGACTAGCAAATCCAAGTGGGTGGATGACAGCCGAACTGTTTGTTGAGGTGTTAGACCACTTTATTAAACATACTGGTGTGACAAAAGAAAGGCCATGCCTATTAATATATGATAACCACGAATCACATGTGTCCCTGGAGATAGCGGAAAAGGCAAAAAACAATGGAATCATTATCTTAACTCTCCCGTCACATATGAGTAACAAGTTGCAGCCTTTAGACAAAGCAGTATTTTACTCTTTTAAGAACTTTTACAATGATGCAATAGATTCGTGGCTCCTCACCCACCCAGCCGTACCCATGACGCTATATCAAATAGCTGAATGTGTTGGTATTGCCCACTCAAAATCAATGACGCCTGAAAATATATTAAACGGGTTTCGTTCGACGGGTATCTACCCATTCAATAAAAATATTTTTATGGATGCTGACTTTCTTGTATCATCTGTGACTGACAGACCTGAAGACCTTCAAAAAGAGAACCTCCAACAAGGAATGGTTGTATTCCAAGAAGATTTGAATGATGAACAAGATGCCGGCGGCAGCGGCAGCGGCAACGATACCGCCGTTGCTTCATGTAGCACAACCGATACTCAACAGTGTACAGATGATAAGGGAGACTCTACTTTGGAAATAGCGTCGACTACAAAAGATTATTTTATTTCACCATTTGAGATACGGGGCTTCCCAAAGGCAGCTCCTCGGAAAAATTTAAATCGAACACGAAAATCTAAGAAAAGTGTCATTTTAACCAGCACACCAGAAATGAAAGAACTTTCGTACAAAACAGAAAATAAGAAAACTCCTAAAACAGAAGCAGTTAAAAAGGTAAAACGAACTATAAGTGCAGACAAAAAAAATACAAAGAAAAAAGCAAAACATGTGAAGAAGATTCAGAGACGGACACAGAAAGTGTAGATTTGCATTTCGCGGATTCTTCAGATGATGAATTAACCTTAGCTGAACTTGAGTATCATATGATGGAGGAAGAGAAGGATCAATCAGAATCTTTGGCAATTGATGAAACTACTGAAATTTTAAAAGATTCTTTTGTCTTGGTCAAATTTCAAAATAATGTTCACTATGTTGCTAAAATTTTGGAAGCTGTAAACTCTAACGAATTTAAAATTTCGTATTTGAGAAAAAGTGCAAAAGTTTCAAATTCATTCTATTTCCCGGATGTTCCGGACATTCATATGGCACTGAAATCAGATTTTGTAATCCTGTTGCCGAGTCCGATACAAACAAATAATAAAAGGCTTTCGTCATACTTTAAATTCGGAGTTGATTTTGGTAACATGATTGTACGCTAATTAAAATCTTTTGTTATTACTTTTTATTAAAAATAAATATTTTAGTTTTTTACTTTTTTACCGATAGGTATTTTTTTGAAAAGAAAAAATGTTTTTGTTCCTTCTTTGAGTTGATTTAGTTTATTTTAGTTTTTTACCAACATTTTTTGAAAATAAAAAATGTTTTCGTTCTTTCACAACTGATTTTTTTTTTAAATAATAAATATTTTTATACTTGTACCATTTTGTTTCATTGTGTACTACCCCATGTTTCAAACTGTACCACCAGTGGTACACATTGATACAAAAACATCCATGTAGATTTTATTTTTTTTTTACCTAAACAGTATGGGTTTTTAAAAATTAACTACGGGGATTTATAGCTAAATATCCAATAACTATGCAATAAAAAAATTATATTCTTTAAATAATAACATCGGAAGTTATACAAAATATTCGAAAAATCGTTTCATTGTGTACCACTCTCCCCTATACATCCTAATTTATCGACATTGGCGATTAGACTTTTACAAATACCTGCGTCGTCTGCGCAAATTAAAGGTTTTTTTTCAAACTTTTAAACGCTCCAAAAAATTAATTCATATGTACTATTCACTTAAAATAAAAGAAGCAAATTTCACCGACAACGTTTGACTGCATAATGACGATAAAAAAATTTGATCTACGAAAAAAAGTTAGTTTCTGAGTTACAGGCCTTCAAAGTTGTTAAAAATAAAACTAATTTAATTAATTACTTCATAACCCTTTTACCGATCGTGTTCAAATTTGGGACATTTATTTGGACCATTATGGCATATGATTCAATAAAGTTTTAGTCAAATTGATATACTGGATGTTATTTTTCTCCGGTTACCTCTCCCTTTTAGCGGTCAAAAATTTTACAGTGGTCGTATTTTTTTAAAACGGACAGCAACATTGAAAAGGTCATTTTATTTAAAAAAAAAATATTGGCTCTTGAAAAAATCATCTAGAGGAAGCCATTATTGAGAAAAATTGCATTATTTGTATGTCTGGATGTTTCGGTTTGCGTAGCAGTGTCACGGATTTAAAACTTTGAGTGAAGTAGGCGATGAAAACAAGATGTTGATTGCTGCGGCTATCAGGTTATGTCATTATTGTCGTATTTCTTTAGGATTCTCATCACTCTACACATGCAAATTATGAAAATGTTTAATTGTTTTGATGCACATTTCATAATTTACATGTGTGGGGTGATGAGAATCCTAAAGAAACACGACAATAGTGACGGTACCTGATAGCCACAGCAATCAACATCTTGTTTTCATCGCCTACTAAACTCAAGTTTCAAATCCGTGATACTACTACGCAAACCGAAACGTACAGACCTGCAAACAATGCCATTTTTCTCAAGAATGGCTTTCTGTTGGCGATTTTCTCATTTCAATGTTGCTGCTCGTTTAAAAGAAGTATAACCACTGTAAAAGTTTCGGCAGCTAAAAGGGAGAGGTAACCGGAGAAAACTAACATCCAGTATATCGATTTGACTAAAGCTTTAATAAATCATATGCCATAATATGGTTGTCCACTATAAAAATAAACCATATACAAATTGTTGTTGAGTCAAAGATTTTATATAAAAGAACCTGCCTGTCAAATTTTAAATATATGACAAATTAGTGGTAGAAATCATTTATGAATTTTTGCGTTACTTAAAAACTAGTCTGACGTCATAAGGGGCAATTGAACAAGAAGCTAGTAGCGATCCTATTACATAATTTTAAAGAAGAAAATATGTCAAAATTGTCCATCGAACCCTGCTGCACTGTTTCCTGTTTTTTAAACAAAAGTGACACTAGTGACAGCAGTCTTATCAATTAAGAGTATTCGTGATAGTTATTATTAATTTCCTGATTGTAATGGATTCAACAAAATTTAAGTAGTGTTTTGTTCCACATTCCACATAGCCAATTGCATTATCTCCATAAGACTCCCGAACTGCACTATAAATTTCCATAAATAAATAGGTATTTTATATAAATAAACACAATAAAATCATTCATTAAATATGTTGATCCTTACCTGACTGCTTTTATACCTCTGATTTCGTCAATATTAAAACGCTCGTCTCTTTTTAAAAATTCAATTCATGATCATAAAAATATAAATTTTCGGTAAAATTTGCGAAGTAGCTTTCACAAATCCCGATTCACACATTCTGCTTTAATTATAAGTGAAGCTATTAAATGATTATTACTAAATAATAATTTTACTTAATAAAGGAATTTGAAGATTAAGGAAATAATTCATAGACTTGAAAATATTTTACACGACAGTGTTACTGACAGACTGACACTACTGACAATGTTGACAGAGCGTCTTCTTCCAATGTTTTTCCTTTATGCAATCATTTATAGTCCGGGAGGCAGCGACAGAAATTTTGTACCAATTCCTACAAAGCTGATTTTTTCTCATTTTGTTGTTTTGATATCGTAAGTAAACGGAACGGCAGTCTACCGCGCCAATGTGGGGGCAAACGTTAGTAACAATTTTTTAAACATGAAAATAAATAATACTTAAATGCCTTATACCTACAAGGCTGAAACTTTTTAGAGTGATCAATTATACCTAAAAATACAGTATAGTGATAGTCTACCGCGTCGGAAGGGGGGCCATCAAGGGTCTACCACCCACGCAAGGTGTTGAAAAATTAACTTTTTTGACTTATTTCTACAAGGCTGAATTTTTTTTCTCAAATACTTTAGTTTATAAGAGAACCAAAAAAAAACAGTCTACCGATCATCTAAGGGTGCAAAGCCTTGATAGACGCAATGGAATGCACGATCTCCCGAGCGCAGTCGCTGCGCCGATTCACTGTAAGCCGCTCTGAATAATAACTCATACCGGGATTAAATTACAATCTACAAAGCTGCTTTTTTGTCTATAGATATCTTACAATAATTATTGTCAAATAAACGTCTTATACCTTCGATACGAGGTGGCTAAAGCTTCGGTAGACGTGGCGAAAGTTTTTGCGCGGAAGTTGCTTAAAATTCCAAATTTATTATTAATTACAGTTTTTTGAGCTTACACCATTATTTAAACGTATGATATAGTAACAACGAGCGAGCGTTAGCGAGCGAGATTTTTGCTAGTATAATAGGTATTAACAAAAGTTCAAAAATTTTTTTTTTCAAATAACTGACCTTTTTCTTTTTTAACATTGAATAATTAAATTTATTTCACTTTTACTTATAATTTATAACAATAATACTTTTCGATAATAGCGCGCGAAATGCTTGATTTGCGATTCATCATCACATTCGTCAATTACACTCGTGCGAGAATTATTCTATCGCACTAGTATCGAACAATATTTTACGACACTTATTTATAAAATAAATGATAACAACGCAAATGTTTTTTATTACAACAATATAGTAATTATATAAAAAATAAATATATTTTTCTTATTCCTCATCGCTACTGACATTTGATTCCTCATCGCCTTCCATATCATCACTATCTTCATCCTCATCATCTTTCTGGTCACACACTCCATCATTTTCTTTAAGGTATTGACAACCGTCATTTGCAATTTCTGTATCTGCAAATAGCAATATATTATTAAATATTTATTATATTATGCTAACATAAATTCACCCCCTTTAGGGTCTGAAAGTCATTTTTTAATTGAGTTTTAGACCTCCTTAAAATGCAAATATGTGTACCTGAATCTTTATCGTTCTGTAGATCAAACGTCACATCGATCAGTGATGTTTTTGAAAGCTTACAAAACTACTAACGATAAAATCTTTCGTCAAAAGGTCAAGAGTTTCGATGCATCTGCTTTACCACCTTGTCAATCAGAGCTCCGAGAACACATACTCCGAACAGCATATATTGCACAAATTTGGAGTAATGCTCACTTAAAAGAGCCTACAACATTATCCCCACTCGACTGTGGCTGGAAAGTGGATGAGAATGCAAGATATGATTTTAATTGGTTTAGTGGCGACCAATTGCCTCAGTCAATCGATGATGTGACGTTTGATCTACAGAACGATAAAGATTCAGGTACACATATTTGCATTTTAAGGAAGTCTAAAACTCAATTAAAAAATGACTTTCAGACCCTAAAGGGGGTGAATTTATGTTAGCATAATATAATAAATATTTAATAATATATTGCTATTTGCAGATACAGAAATTGCAAATGACGGTTGTCAATACCTTAAAGAAAATGATGGAGTGTGTGACCAGAAAGATGATGAGGATGAAGATAGTGATGATATGGAAGGCGATGAGGAATCAAATGTCAGTAGCGATGAGGAATAAGAAAAATATATTTATTTTTTATATAATTACTATATTGTTGTAATAAAAAACATTTGCGTTGTTATCATTTATTTTATAAATAAGTGTCGTAAAATATTGTTCGATACTAGTGCGATAGAATAATTCTCGCACGAGTGTAATTGACGAATGTGATGATGAATCGCAAATCAAGCATTTCGCGCGCTATTATCGAAAAGTATTATTGTTATAAATTATAAGTAAAAGTGAAATAAATTTAATTATTCAATGTTAAAAAAGAAAAAGGTCAGTTATTTGAAAAAAAAAATTTTTGAACTTTTGTTAATACCT